TCCCGTGATGCCATCAGGTCCAGCCGCTTTCCTCGGATTCACAGACCTCAGTGTACGCCTCACCTCATGCTCTTCTACCCTGAGGGAGGGGCCACCATGGACAGATGGTTGTAATATGACTGTCCCCTTCGGCTCTACATCAAAACGGGCAAAGAAGAGATTAAGCTCCTCCGCCAATGAAGGGTCTCCATCAACCGCAGCAAGAGTTGGTTTATAATTGGTGATATTCTGAATCCCCTGCCACACCTGCTGCATGTCATTCGTGTTGAATTTATCCTCAATCCTCTGCCTGTAGCCCAGCTTAGCCTGTCGGATGCCTCTTTTCAGGTTGGCTCTGGCAGAGGGTGATAGAGTTTCAGCCCAAATGCTAGAATGTGATGTGTCACTTCCTGGTGACATCATCGTGCTGATGACCAGGGGTCATCTCGTAGAAAAAGAGGTGCAGGAGCTCATTAGCATAACTTATTTGCATATGCCACACCCCCTGACATCACCGGAAGTGTGTCAGACGGCAACCCCACCACTCAGGCTCCACAGGACTGTTTTGGATTGATCGCTATTGGGGGGGGGGGAACGTGCAGATCTGCCCTCACAGAGGAGGGAGAGCTTATACCTGAATAAAACTTGGTCTTAAAGGTGCCACTGGACTGTTTTGGACCAGGGGGCCGGGGGGGGGGCCTCTGCTACTTACCTGGCTGCTTCTTGCTGGGAGCAGGGGGTGGGGCTTGTTGTATGTGCCCGTCCCCTGGGCTCTTTACTGCCGGAGCTCCGCTCCTGTGCGCTCCTGCAGGAAATGACCCCTGCTGATGACTATGATGTGGGAGGGGACTGTTCAGGGGTGGGGTTTCCCTTGCTGGCCAGTGGCAGATTAGAGCTCCCAAAATTGGGGGAGCCCCCACCCTGACCGTGGGTCTAACAACCCTACCCAGGCTTCATCCCCAAACCTCCAAGAATTTCTCAGCATGAAGGAAGGAACCCTTATTTGAACTTGGGTATTCCAGATCCAAGTGTGATACTCCCACCTTTACAACACCCCTGTGGGAACCCTGAAAATGGGTCTCCTGACATCTTCTCAGATCTATTAACAGATCTCTGTTTAGCTATTTGGATATCTTTAAAAATTACAGTAGAAACTACCTGGTTAAATTTGTTCCCTCCTTTTGTCATGGCAGCTCATATAATACTTGCAGCTAATACTTTTTTTTCTTTTGAGCTCCCAGAGGGGATTTTTTTATTGATTTTTTTAACACTACAAAAAACTACAACAGAAAGGGGGAGGGGGAAAACTACATATAAGGGAGAAAGTAAAGAACCCACTACTGACTAAAAACCCAAGAGAGGAGATCCTCCAACTAGCTTTTTTGCATCCAAACTTTTCATCTTTGTACTTCTTATGAACTGTGTCAAACTTTTAGAACTTTTAACTCTCCCTATTTACATTCAATTGCCCAATAACAATGCCCCCCACCATCCCCTGGAACCAAAGTTCTCAAAGGCAGAATTCAGAGTCCTTCAGCCTTTACTTCTTCTCTCTTTTCCGCAGTTTGTAGGAACTTTTCAGGGCTGCTGCCTCCTGCTCAGACAAAAAGTCCTCGCCAGATGAACCAGTTTCCAGCTCACCGCTGGACCTACTATCCTCTTCTTTTTTCTCGTCCTCTGACCTTCCCATCTGTTCTTTTAGAAATTCTTGAGCTTTAAGAACCGAGTCAATCTTAATCTTCTTCTCGTTGATCTTAAATGTTACTCCTTCTGGAAATAGCCATTTGTATCCAATTGATTTTGTTTGGAGGAAGAGCACAAGTTCTGTGTATTTCTTTCTGCGTTGCCTTACTTCAAATGGAATATCCTTTAGTGTTCTGACAGCATTCTCCCCCACCTTCAGGGGTGTCGCAGCCACTGCTTTCAGGATAGCATCCCTAATGTGCCTCTTCGAGAATCTTACTACAATTTCCCCAGGCAGATTATTTTTCTTTATGTATCCTGAATATGACCCGTAGGCTACATCCATGTCGTTGAGTAATAGTTCCGCCTTTATATCTGTTGCTGGGGCGAGTAGCTCACTCATAAGTTCTTTAAGATTCTCTCCTCTGTTCTCTGGCATCCCTTGGAAGCACAGAACCATGTTGGCCTTATCCATTTGCACTTGAAGCATCTGATCTTCCAAAGAAACAGTTTTCTTTTTCAATTTTTGCACTTTCTTCCTCATTTTCTGCATTGACTCAGCCATCCTGCTTCATTACTTGGATCAAGTCTGTTATTTGCGTTTGTTGAGCAGTGATGCTTGTTGTTACTGCTGACAGCTGCATTTGTTGCGCTGTAATATTTGCTGTTACCACGTACATCTGCTCTTTGAAGGCATTTAGCTGTTCCAGTAGAAGGCGCATGACCTCAGCCATTGCCTTCGTCATCTCACTGGTCGTTTCCGGCTTCGGGGACTCTAGTTTCGTTTTTTTTAAGTTTCTCTTTGTCTCTATCCCTCTTTCCCGCCATCTTTTTCCTGTTTGTTTACTTTTGTGAAAATTTTTTAAAGTCTCTGAATATGCGCTTGACTGTTTAGCTCGATTGGGTGAGTACTTCTGGGCAATCGCACGTTTATTCTTCTTCTCCCCCCCCTTTCGCTCAACGATTTATGCACATGGGAGGTGTCCCTCCCCCGCTCGCTTCTGTCGTTCCGCCGCGTAGGGTAGGGAGCGTCTTTTCTTTTAAAAATCGTTTCTCAGTTGATTCACGTTCATAATTGGTCTTCCGACCCCGCTTCATTAATCATTTCTCACGCCCGATCTCCTGCGCTTGACCCGGTTAGCTTCACTTGTACCATTTGGTCTCTCGGCTGGATGAACCACTGGAGCAAGGGGGAACCTCAATTCTCTGGCATTCATCCATCGAAGAGGCTACCCCCCCAAAGCTCCTTGGCCAGGGTCCCTTTGTTGGGCCCCTGGGGGGTTAATGAGCCTGCTCACCCCCTCCCTCTGCCGGAGCACGGAGCGCCTCCCGGAGGTGAGTCTGTGAGCATGCCGCCATCAACCAGAAGTCAACTTGCAGCTAATACTTGTTTGACCAGTGCACCCTGTGATTGTTGGGAGTACTTTCTAGCCTAGGCTATTTTAAAATAGATTATAAATAAATAAATAAATTGGTAAAATTTTGTGCAGTGGAGTGGTAGGATAAGGCTGCAATATGGCAAACATACTTGCAACACTGCCTTCTACCCATATCAACTGTGGCAACAAAATGCTTAACAGATTTTTTGTGCATGATGTGTTGGGGGTTTTTTTTATATGAACACTGAAGGAATCATGGGATCATTTTAGCAAAGGATTGCTTGTACGTGAAACGTCTTTGTTTTCCCCTACAATGCTTAAGGCTTATAAATGCAAAATAAAATGAGAAGCCTTTGTTCCTCTTTTTTGATGCACATCCAATAAGCCTTGTCGCACTGTGAGTTTCGGGCACAATAATACACAGCAGAGTCAGCAGCTGTCACCGAATTCAGCTGAAGGGAGAACTGGTTTGTGGAGCTGTCTGCAGAAATGGTGGCACGACTTTGGAGAGAAGAGGCGTAGTACTTGTTCCCATTGTAGAGGTAGATATATGCAACCCATTCCAGTTCTTTCCCAGGAGGCTGACGGATCCAGTTCCAACCATAACTGCTGTCAGTGATGGAGACTCCTGTCACTTTACAGACCAGATTGAGATTCTCTCCGGGTCTCAGTGTTCCCGGTCCCGATGATGTGAGCTGAATGTCCGAAAAGGCCCCTTGGAAAAAGAGAACATTGCAATGAATTCAGAACATCATACAGTTGGAGGTGTAGCTAAACCAAGGGTTCTAAAATTCCCATAGAGTATATACTTACCTCTCAGAGTAGTCACTAAGAAAAATATGAAAAGTATAATTAATTTCATGATGTAATTGAAAAAAGAAGTCTTAATTAGACAGGAAGGATGAAGGTCAGACCAAGGAACAGAAGTGAGTTTCCTAAATGTTCAGGTTCCTTTTGAGCTCATCCTGCCCCCATGGACTACAAATGGGATTTGCATGAGTCCCTCCTCCTGTGATCTATGCAGTATAAGGCTTTTCCCCAGTGTTAGTTGGGGGAGAGTAAATGGATTAGCTTGGGAAGACAGCATGTGGACCGAAGGACAGATCATGCCAGTTCCCCAGCACAGTATCCCCTGTGCAGTCTGATTGATCTGGGAATGGATGGGTTTTCCCATGAATTTTGATACCCCAGAGATTTTGATACCACATTTGATAACATTGCTTAACAGTGTGTTAGCAGAGGGGGTATTCCAGACATATAGCAAGAAACTAGATTGTAGTTTTGAAACCAGGCAAAGATGCTACGTTCCCGGAACCATTTAGGCCCATCATCCGCCGAAATCAGGATGCCAAAATATTTGCCAGTCTTTTGGCACTACAGTAAGACCTATAATACACCACATGGAGGACAAAGACCAGACTGGATTTACAGTCAACTAGGAGATATATATAGGAGAGTATGAAAGGCAGTACATTATAGTAACCAAACTACAAAAACCAATTGCTGTTCTTTTATTAGGTGCACATAAAGCACTGGACAAGTTGGAATGATAGTTTTTACTTAATTCATTAAAGTGGGTGAAGCCGCTCTCTCTCTCTCTCTCTCTCTCTCTCTCTCTCTCTCTCTCTCTCTCTCTCTGTGTCTATCCTAGCTTTTCTCTCTCTCTCTCACTCTCGCTCTCTCCCCCCCCTCTCTCTGTGTAAATCCTACAGACCACTTGCCATGTTCCCCGAACACGGCTTCCTCCTCCTCTTGGAGGGATAGACATGATTTGACTGAGATCTTGTTTAGAATAACAGAGAATATGAAAATCTGACAAGGACTCCCCTAAGTAAATCATGCAAGAAGAGGCTAAATAAAATCAGGTAATTGTGGTAGCAGTCCTACAATGATGGTTTCAAAAAGGCATACCCCTGTTTTGAATTGCTCTGTTAATTATCAGATGAAGCATGACTCATTTCATCATGATTCATGATCACTGGATAGGTGAACAAAGTTTGAGTTCAGTGGCACCTTTAAGACCAATGAAGTTTTATTCAAGGTCATTCAAAGTAACCTTGAATAAAACTTTCTTGGTCTTAGAGGTGCCACTGAACTCAAAGGTGATCAAAAATGTAATTGTTGCCTCCAAGTCGTCATGGTGAGGAACCATTCCTTTATTTCCCAGTTGTCGCATCAAGACCACAGGAAAGCACTTAATAATTCACCTATAGAAAACACCAACACCATTTTCAGGTCTATCAATAGGTGATCATGAGGACTGGTAAAAATAAACCTTCCACCTTTAGGGGTAGTTCCAGGACCTCCACCCATGGAATTTACCTGCCTGAAGGATACTCTTCTGCTGCCCATGATGACAGGGGCCTCCCAGGGCATGTCTTTTGCAGCCATCTTCGACCAGTCGGAGCTCCTGGCCTTTCTGGCAGTGTTGTATGAAGAAGGCAGGTGGAGTGAAGATTTCAAATTCCTCACCTTTGATGCCTATTTCAATTATCCTCCTCCCTGATGACAACTGAACCCGTGATTTGTTTTGTCCACAAACAACAAACTATCTGCAAAAATTAACAAATCCTTGTATTTTTAAATAGTACCTTTAGTGGTGTATTACATGAAAATGGGAATGTGAACAAGAGAGCCCCATTTGCTGTAAGAAATATAAGTGGACATGAAAAAGAGACAGCATGGTTGTGGGGTGTGTGGGTCGTTGGGATGGCAATGGAGCCACAGTAAGCTTATCATGAAATGTGCCCTGTGTTTTTACTCAGCCTATTTTGTCTTCTCTGTAGGCTTCAGATATTTAGCTCTTTGGCACCACCTCTCGAGCCTTTCCTGAAATCTTCATGCAGAGAAGGGGTTTTGCCTGATCTTTGCTAGGATCTCTCTCACTGTGTCTCTTGAACAGTAATAGACAGCCGTGTCCTCTGCTTTCAGGCTGCCCATTTTGAGGTAGAAGTTGGAGCTGTCCTTGGAGGCTGTGAATCGCCCTTGGATCGCAGGGGAATAATCACTGTTCCCGGAACCAGGACGATAGTACTGGACTAGCCATTCCAGTTTTTTGGCAGCCTTCTGCATGACCCAGCTCATATAGTAGCTGTTAATATCAAATCTAGTGATGGCACAGGACAGTTTATGGGATTCTCCTGGTTTCTTCACTGCAGGAGCTGACTGGGGGAGAACCACCTGTAAGAGGACACCTGGTAGGAATTGGGGGGGGGAGAGAACTGGATGAGATAGGAACAGCAACAGCTCATGGGGATCATGTGCAACCCAAGAGTAGTGTTGGAAGGAGTTGGATTCCAAAAGATCAACATACATGGGGAGACAGCCATGAAAATGAGTGCTGGAAAGAAGAACAGCATAGCAGAATGATGGATGAGATCTCAACTGGACTGCGTCTCCTGAGCCAGGAAGTCTGAGTGAGATGAAGAGGTTTTGAGGGTTTAAATAGGAAGCAAGTGTGTGCTTGCCTTTGCATAAATCACTGACGGCATTTATGCAGGATCACACCCCTTCAGAACCTGAGACTGCTGTGTTTCTGACGAAGGAGGGACAACCATTCCCCTGTGATGTGAGAACGGCTCTGTTGACTGCAGTCCCCTGGAGCGATGAGATCTGCAGATGCACTTCTGCCATGCCTCTGTTCTTCCAAAGCCCCTCTGGGTGGCACTGTATGCGTGGGGTGGGGGTGGCTGCCCACCCCCTAGAAAGCACTCATGACACTCACAGTGGAGAGGAAAGGTGTTTTGTTCTCTAAGGATACGCCTGGGAAGCACCGGATCATGGCCCTCGGCCCTGACAAGCGCAGGGAGAGTTCTGGTGTGGGACTGACCAAGGGCAGCTGGAGCACAGCTGCCTTCTTCTTCTGAGCTCTTCAAGGATTTTGGGGGGTGGAACCTGAGAAGTACAGAGTTTTGGGCCTCAGTGGGATATAATGACATAACGTCCACATTTCAAAGTGGCCATTTTATTTTATTTTATTTATTTATTTATTGGATTTATACCCCGCCCTCCCCACCCTAGCAGGCTCAGTGCGGCTTACATAAAAGTGTCAAAACAGTTTAAGACACATAACATCTAAAGTGCAATGCGTACATATTCCCTATGCAATGGCAGTCATAACCCCATATTCGTAAGAATGTAAGAACATAAGAGACGCCAATGCTGGATCAGGCCAAAGGCCCATCCAGCCCAACACTCTGTGTCACACCGTGGCCAGAAATACCAGTGCCATCAGGAGGTCCACAAGTGGGGCCGGGACATTAGAAGCCCTCCCACTGTTGACCCCCCCCCAAGCACCACTTGCCCCAGAGCCCCTATCTATACCTTGTGGCTAATAGCCACTGATGGGCCTCTGCTTCTCTTAACAGGATTCTCTTAACAGGAGTCTGTTAGTACAGACTGAGCCTTCTTTGCGGGGAGGGCGAGGTATAAATTTGCTTATAAATAAAAATAAATAAAATGATTCAAACAATCTCCAGGTGATCTGATCTCTGTTGCCTGGGGATCAGCTGTAGTCCAAGGAGGTCTCCAGCCATCAGCTGGAAGTGGGCAACTCTACCTGCTACTGTTCTTGTGGCAGTAAAGTTTTGCTTTTTTCATTTATTTTGCAATGGATTTAATTGTTTTGCAATCTATCATGCCTCTCTTGGCAATGGGTCAGGGGTTCTGGCTCCTCTCCCCAGTACCCATTCTCTGTTGCCTACTGAGGGCTGGCACACGTTCCATGCCACAAACTCCTCCATTCCATGCTACGGACTCATCCACTCATTTTGACTTCTCTTCTTGTACCCTTTTCTTGACCATGCATTTTGTTTGGGTATTCCTATATCCTTGCATTTATGCATTTCTCCACGTATCATCTTTATTGTTTGTTGTGGTTCTGTAGCACTACTCATAGTTCTTCAATAAGCCATTTAATGGGAATCAGTAATACGTTGGAGTCAGTGTCTACCTTCTGGCAGTTGATCCACACTGGGGTGCTACCAACCCTTCCAAACAGGTTTTTTTTTGATGATAAAGAGATCCAGATTAACAACTCACTGCTCCTTCTTCCACTCATATCTAATGTGGCAGCAAAACCCTTAAGAGGTTTGTGCATATATGATGTAGTGGTTTCATGCATGGATACTGAAGGGAAGGTAGCAACAGGTTACAAGGGATGCCTTGCTCAAGTTTGTTTTGATTTTTGGAATTTTCAACATCAGTTTTTGTGCATTGCATGCAAGTTTTGAAAACACTGACTGAAATCAGAAATGTGTGTTCCTCTTTTTAATTCAGCTCCAATTGACTTTGTTTCACTGTGCTCCTCGGGCACAGAAATACACAGCAGAATCAGCAGCCGTCACAGAGTTCAGCTGGACAGAGACCTGGTTTTTGGAGGAGTCTGCAGAAATGGTGGCGCGACTTTGGAGAGATGGGTTGTACCACTTTCCCCCATCATCGGGGTATATTCCTGCAACCCATTCCAGACCTTTCCCAGAAGGCTGGCGGATGAAGTCCCAACCATAATCCTGTGTAGTGATAGAGAATCCTGTCACTTTACAGACCAGGTTGAGATTCTCTCCAGGTCTCAGTGTTCCCCGTCCTGATAATGTGAGCTGCATATCCGAAAAGGCTCCTTGGAAAAAAATAATAATGCAATGAATTCAGAGCATCAGACAATTGGAGGTGTAGTTAAACGAATGGTTCTAAAATTCTCATTGTCCACATACTTACCTCTCAGAGCCGTGAACAAGAAAAATATGAAAAATATAATTAATTTCATGATGCAATAAAAAATGATGCTTTGTTTGGCAGGAAGGATGAAGCTTTGACTGAAGAATAGGAGTGAGTTTCCTAAATGTCCCGGTGCCTTTTGAGCTCATCTTGCCCCCCTGGACTTCAAATGAGATTTGCATGAGTCCCTCCTCCTGTGAGCAATGCAATATAATGATGTTTTCAGAAGCAGGCTTGAACAGGAGAGTTGCTCCTGGATTTCCCCCAATATTAGCTGGGGGAGAGCAAGTGGATTAGATTGAGAAGAGAGCATGTGGACCAAAGGACAGACCCTGCCAGTTCCCCCAGCACCATATCCCCTACACAGTTTGGTCGATCGATGGGTTTTCCAGTGAATTTGTATACCCGATTTGACAACTTTGTTGAACAGTGTATTACTAGAGGGTGTTATTCCGGACACATCTCAACAAATTAGATTGTGTTTTTTAAACCAGGCAAAGACGATACATGCCTATAATCTTATAGGCCCATCACCCTCCTAAATTAAGACGCCGAAATATTTTTGGCCCTAGAATAAATACGCCAATACATCACAATGTGGACAAAAACAAGGCAGGTTTATGGTGCACTAGGAGATGTACTTAGGAGAATATTAAATGTAGTATGTTACAGTAATCGAACAAAAAGCCTATAGCTGTTCTTTTGTTAGATGCCAGGAGAACAAAATGCAAGGTGGCGTGTGATCACCTTATTATCATACAAAGATTGTAAGTTTTATCTTTTACTCTGCTGGTACATAGATGAGTGCAGTCTGGTGTTTCTTCATCGTTTTGTTAGATGCACATAATGCATTGGAAAAGTTGGAATGACCTTTTTTTTAAATCTTAATTTACTGAAGAGGATGAAGCTGGGGTTTTGTGCAGAAGTTTCCAAGCTATCTCTGAGCTCTATACTTCTGTGGCACTGGTGTGAATAAATGCAGTGGACTCTTTGTCCTTTGCTATTTGAAGAGGAAGCAAAATAGGGCTGCCCATTCCCCATTCTCTTGCTTGCAGTGTCAGCAGAAGCCTTTGCTATAGCAATGAGGGAGAGATGAATAATAAAAGGACCTTTAATTGCTAATCAGATTTATGTCATAATTCTCTTTGCTGCTGGTGTGGCAGTCATGTTACAGAACCCTAAAAGGTGACATCAGATCTTTGTAAGACATTGAAAGAATATGAGGAGGCAGTATTGCTGCCAAATCCTGTTGGTAAATTTCTGGAGACTTGGGAGTAGGGTTTGGGGAGATAGATCATATGGTCTCTGGGAATGACAAGTTATTTCCAGATGGCAGTGATCAGTTTCCCAGGCCACCATGGCTGCTTTGGAGGGTGGACTCATTGGCATTTATTCCCTGCTAAGGCCCCCCTCCTTCACAAACCCTGCCTTCCCTACAAACCCAAACCTTCCCCACAAAACCTCTGTGGGAACTCTGAAGTTGGGTATCCAGAGTTCTTGTCAAATCTGACCCTTTCTCTGTTAATAATGCATATATCAATTGTTTACTTACATGGATTATGTATCTAAAGGCCTCTTAAGAGTCATGGGTAGATAATGAATGTCTCTTTCTGCCATTTTTCTTGAAAACACAATTCTTATCACTCTTTTTGAGAACAGATAAGAAACAGGCCCTTGAGGCCTACTTCACACCTAGGGTTGCCAAATCCAAATGGTCTGGGAGCGGGGGGCTCCCAGACTCCTTCCTCTCCATGCGCGCGCGTGCCGCGTGTGCGTCACCCGGAAGTGACGTCACACGCTGGGGGCAGGGCCACACCATTTGAGGGGAAAACTCTTCGTTTTCCCCTCAAATGGCGTGGCCCCGCCCCCAGCGCGCGACGTCACTTCAGGGTGATGTGCGTGCGGGGGTGGGGTTTCCCCCGGGCCCGATTTTCGGCCCATCAGAAATCGGGCCGGCAAAGCGAGGGATTCCCCGCCCCCCGGCCCGATTTGGGAACCCTATTCACACATCTGATTTCTCTGCACTTGCTTGTTCTGACTAGTCAGGACAGACCAAACCCCACAACACTATCTGGGTTTTCTAATTGGTATGCAGAATATGTACTCCTCGTTTCCCAATAGAAAACTGGAGGGGGGGGAAGGTGCAGAGTGGAAGCACAACATTCAAAGTGACCCCAACCAATTAGATTTCAGTGAAAATCAGAAGTAAGCTCTGCATTCATAAAGGGGCTCAGTTCAGTCTGTATTACTTCCCAGAGGCCATTCGGAAGCAGAATAAAACAGATTCAGTTCAATTCCGGCTGCACAAAGAAACTAAAATTGTCAGGTCTCAGCAGGCATAGCTATTTGGATCTCTTAAAAAATTACAGCAGAAATTACCAGGTTAAATTTGTTCCCTCCTTTTGCCATGGCAGCTCATATAAAATTTGCAGCTAATACCTGTTTGACCCGTGCCCCATGTAAATGTTGGCAGTATGTAGCCTAAATCAAAGGAAAAATAGAGTATAAATATTTTAATTAATAAATTGGCAAGATTTTGCTCAGTGGTGTGGTAGTGGAGGGCAATGCTGTCTTCCACCCATATCAACTGTGGCAAAAGAATTTTTAAGATTTTTGTTTGAATAATATGTTCCCCTTTTTTTTGAGGTACGTCCAATAGACCTTCTCTCACTGTGTGTCTCGGGCACAATAATACACAGCAGAGTCAGCAGCTGTCACTGAGTTCAGCTGGAGGGAGAACCGGTCTGTGGAGCTGTCTGCAGAAATGGTTGCACGACTTTGGAGAGATGAGGCATAATATTTGCCCCCATCATAGAGGTATATGTGTGCAACCCATTCCAGACCTTTCCCAGGAGGCTGACGGATCCAGTTCCAAGCATAATACCGTGTACTGATGGAGAATCCTGTCACTTTACAGACCAGATTGAGGTTCTCGCTGGGTCTCAGTGTTCCTGGTCCTGAAGATGTGAGCTGAATGTCCGAAACGGCCCCTTGGAAAACGAGAACATTGCAATGAATTCAGAGCATTATGCAGTTGGTAAACCAATGGTTCTAAAATTCCCACAGAGCTAATACTTACCTCTCAGAGTAGTCACCAAGAAAAATAAAAAATGTACAATTAATGTCATGATATAATTGAAAAAAGAGTGCTTTGTTTGGCAAGGAAGGATGAAGCTCTGGCCTAGGAACAGAAGTGAGCTTCCTGAATGTTCAGGTTCCTTTTGATTTCATCTTGACCCCACGGACTTCAAATGGGATTTGCATGAACCCCACCTCTTTTTGATCTATGCAATATAATGACATTTTTTAGAAGCAGGCTTGAGTAGGAGATTTGCTCCTGGCTTTCTCCCAGTGTTAGCTAAGGGAGAGTAAGTGGATTAGATTGGGAAGACACTGATGAATGGGTTGTACAGTGAATGTTTATACCCGATTTGAAAACTTTGTTGAACGGTATATTAGCAGAGGGTGATAGAGTTTCGGCCAAAATGCTAGGGTGTGATGTGTAACTTCTTGGTGACATCATTACACTGATGACATTGACATGGTAGGAGATGTTCAGGGGTGGGCCTTCCCTCACTGGCCAGTGGCAGATTGTAGCCCCTGACCGGGGGTCTGGCAACCCTACCCAGGCTTCACCCCCAAACATCCAAGAATTTCTCAGCGTGAAGGAAGGAACCCTTATCTGAACTTGGGCATCCCAGATCCGAGTCTGTAACTATCACCTTTACAACACCACTGTGGGAACCCTGAAAATGGGTCTCCTGACATCTTGTGAAATTGACCCTCTATCTGTTAGTAATGGATATATCGTTTGCTTCCTTAAATTAGTTAAATCTCTTTGGCCCTCTTAACAAAGATGGGTGTATAATGAATGTCTCTTTCTGCCATTTTGCTTGATAATACTGTTCTTATCATTGTTTTGAGAAGAGATAAGAAATAGGCCCTTAAGACCTACTTCACACCGATATTTCCTTCCCTTGATTTCTCTACACTTGCTTGTCGTAGAACTGGGTCCACTTCAATTATTTGGAGATGGGTAAAATCCTTCCCAAAGCTGAGGTCCTTAAGAGCATCTGACCACAATCATAAAACAAACATAACTTCCTTTGTGTTGCACTATGCAATGGTTTTTGTGAGAGACTTATGTTCATTGAATTCTTACACCAACAAAATGGCTTTGTCTTCTGGCACATGAATGTTTCAGTTTAACTATGTGCTGCCCTCTGCTGGACAGGGTTGTAGACTCTTGTCTGGGAAATTTCTGGAGGATGGGGACATATCTGAGAGAGGGTGAAGTTTGGAGAGGGGAGGTGTCATATGGCAGCACAGGTCAGTGTTCAAAGTGGGTGCAGTCATTTAATTGTTTATTTAGTGTATTTCTAGTTCTTTTTCTCACTGACATTCCAAGCTGATTACACTGTGTGTGTGAGAGAGAGTGTGTGCGTGTGTGCATATTCTTGAAATGGGACTGGTGGTCTAATCAAAGGCTTGGAAGCAGGGCAATTGATAGTCTGGTTTTCAGCAGTTCAGTTCTGCTCAGGCCCTTTATTTAAGTCCATTCCCCTCACTTTCACTGTGCATCACTGTTGGGGCTTTTCCCCTTCTGCATTCCCCCTCCCTCCATGCATTCCAATATCATTTTGCTTTTCCTTCTGCATTAATTTTCTTGCTTCAGCACTGAGCCCGCTTTCAGTCTACTGTTTTCCTATGTTTTCTCAAACTGCTTTTGTGGTGTGTCCCCCCCCCCCGGTTCGCATGCAAGCCTAAGATAATTTAAAAGCATACACATTCCTTCAGACGTTTCCTCTGCTCTTCCCTGAGAGGCCAGTTGGTCTCTCCTTATTGGTCCTTATTGATTTATCCGGCTTGCTGGTGGAAGGTTTAAATT